CCCCCCCCCCCCCCCCCCCCGGTTTGCCGCCGGCGGAGTGCTTTGCACATAAGCAAGCAGCATTGTGTTTCTTTCTAACCCCTCCGGAATCACCTGATATATGTTGCCTTTCCGCTCCTGTGTGGTGTCGGTGCTATGCCTGTTCCATCCTGTGACCTTCCATATCCGGCTCCACGCTGCTCTCCTAGGGCCGCGGCGCCGACAGTTTGCACGATAGCATGCGCTCCGATAAGTCGGTTGTGGTTGCAAGATCATGCTCGAATTCCCGAGGAACCAACCCACGCGGCGGGAGGCGGGAGGTTTTTCTCCCTTGCAGCTCCTCTCTCTCCCGACATCTCTTTTTCTTCTCCCGGGGTCAAGGAGAAAAAGAAGAAATGCGCACACACAAATTGACCCGCGGGGTGCTGCAGTGTAGTGTTCCTCTAGAGATCCTGTGGCGAGTTATAAAGCGCGGGTGTCCGGTAGAGCGCGTGCAGGCGAACATTCGCGGCAAGGGTGGAATAATAAACGTCCCTGACGCTTTATCAGTGGGGGAGGTCCCGATTTAGTGCGCGCTATCCAACCGGTTGGAATGTACCGACACTGCCGTACAGGGACCACTACTTCACGGCGGTGCAAAACGTCACACGCGGAATAACCCACTACTGTACATCATAACATCATGGCACCGGCGTTCACTTCTGCACCACTCTGTACGAGAGGCAGCGGAAACACAACCCCAAGCTTGCAACATGCCGTACAACAAAGCAGGCAACCATGCCCCCCCCAAGTGTAATGTATGCATGAGAATATTCACATGCGCTATCTATGTCAGATGGCAACAGCAGTTAGATATGCACACATTTCGAGTTTACCAGTTTTCGTCTTGTTGGCGGAACACGGGCCAACATTCGACGGTCCGCCGTGTCGTTCTTCGCTCGATCACGGTTATCTCTGCGCACCGCAGACCCCACACATGTAAACCTGCTGCTGTAGAGTACAACCTTAACCTTGGACTACACTGCTGTCCGCGGTGAACCGTTCAAATGTACAGCGCGGTGCCTGCCTGTGTTTTTCTCAGTCTGGGGCCGCACTCGCTGATATTATACTCTTGTGTTCCCATCAATCGAGCCTCAACACTAGCCCGCGGAAGCGAGATGTACATACCAGTCATTCGCTCGCTGAGATATCCATGCTCGTCAACCCTTTGTGCATGAATATGCAGTCACCCGCGCGTGCAAGGTTCCGCAAGATCATCCATCTCCTGGCGTTTTTTATTCCGACAAGAACGCAACGAATAATTCATCTCTGCCTATCATTCTTTCCCCGCTGAACACGCGTGGCGATGCAGAGATACATAACTCGATCTAGTCCGTGCCGGCGAGCAGGGGCAACGCAGTTGATCTGCTTATCATAGTGCTGCTAAATACGTGTTCCAACGCCCGCAAGCGGCTGCCGCCCTCCCCGGATCGGTGTTCAGAGCTCGATGTCCCGGCGACAACGAAAACGGATGCATTTTTGTCGAAAACCTTGTAGCAAGCGATGCGGCACTGGACAATTCCTCGGCGAGTTTTTTCCAGCACCGCTCGCTCTTCTCTCGACCGGCTCACGTTCGGCGATGCAGAGATACTCGCGTACAATTTTGAATACAAAATGTACGGCGATGTACTGTACATCAAACTGTGGGGCACGGTAGGCCATGTGACACTTGCTGCGTGTTTGTGCGTAAGAAACGAAAGAGAGAGAGAGAGACAGAGAGAGAGAGAGAGAGAGAGAGAGAGAGAGAGAGACAGAGACAGAGAGAGGCGCGGCGTCTGCCAGGAGAAAGCGTATCGTATCGTCACCCGGCCCATTCCCTGAGATCCCCTCGCGCCTGCGTTCCTCCCTCTCCCTCCCGTAGTGCGTTTGTGTCGTGATGGATCAGGGTGCGGCCCTGTCCGAAGCGGCGACGAAGATGAAGGACGTCGACGAGAAGATCGTCTTGGCCAAGGTATGCATGCGCACGTATCATTCAGGGTCGCGCTCTATCTTTCCCGCGATTAGTACACTAGTATTAGCTCAAGGAACGCCGACAGGATTAATCGTTTGGTTGGTTCTTTGCCTCGCTCAGAGAGCCATTCCGGAGGGGAGGGGAACGTTTAGTGGTCCTTCAAACCAAGGACTCGATCCAATCAAGGACATCCCCTGGTACCCAGACGAAGCTTGGACGGAGCACGTCAGCACGTCTCTCAGGGGTGGGGGGTTCNGGGGGGGGGGGGGCGGCGGGTCCTCATCGGTCGCCTGGCTAGGTCTTCGGGCCATTGAGCACGCGTCACCCTATACGATACGGAGGTGAACCGTTGCATTTCCTAACGGAGATAGGCGCAAGCAGCATCCATGCGTTCGGTCTCATGCGTTCCTACCTGGCCGTGTTTTACGAACCGGAAGATCTTGCTTCATCTGGTCCCTGTCCGTCTGAGCGATCCGCAGTGGGAGGGCGTGAGGGGAGCGAAGTTGTGGCTTGCCGTCGGTTGGTTGACCGCGCCGGGGCCACGCACCCTGTTGCTTGTCTGATGCCGCAGCCGGCAAAGCTGTAGGGACATGTTTGCAAAAATTGTTGAAAAGGCTTGCCCCGCACGCCCACGATTTCGAAACGCGTGACACACCGTCGTGGCGCTCGTGTTAGGCACCCTCTTCTTGGAGGAAAAACCCGGCACATCTGTCTTGCCTGAAGCCAATCATCAAGCAGTATAATATACGTACCACGTTGTCGGAGCACTGCTGTCGTTGCCCCCCGTGGTGACGGACACAGACGTTGATCAGAGCAGCGCCAGACGCACTCCTTTCGCCCATTCCGCCAGCTCCTCCAACCCCCGGTATTAACCCGTACATAAGATAAATAGAACTCTTTCTGCTAAGTTAGCCTATTGTTTTTGGCTTGCTGAATGCACACCGCAAGGTTGCTATTAGTTTTTATGGTACCACGATGGTTCTCCAACCCCACCCCCTCTGCCCCTTCTGTGTGAATCTTCGCGCGTGTCATACCGTCCTTTTTTTGTTGTCCCAGATGGACTGCACCGCGGATGGGAACAAGGAGTTCAAGGATAAGATGGGCATCAAGGGCTTCCCGAGCTTCCGGGTGCGTTTCTAAATAGCCTTTTTTCGCACTTTGGAGCGTTGCGTGACGTTTTTATATGCGTCACCGTCATTTTGTCATTGTCGCTCGCAGCGCTAAATTGTCTGACGAAATCACAGAACCGGTTCACTAGTAGTTGGTTACTCCTCCTACCGCACTCACACTCCGCATCCCGTCGCGTCTGCATGTTGATAATGTCCATTCGTGTCACCCCATGCTAGTCTGAGAAAGGCACTGAACAGCATTACGCATACTTGGTGACCCTCTGGCCGCACTCACACCCTGCCTGCCGTTCGTTGCCTTGTATGGTTCGTTGCTGTTGGGTATGGAGGGCACTCCGGAGAGCGCGAAGGAACACAAGCCGCCGAGAATGATGCCCCAGCTGATGGAATAATGCACGGCCACCAAGGTGAAAAATATTTGAAGGGAAGACGCGGTGGTGGTTGGTGCCTGCGGTGGTGGTTGGTGCGATGTTGTTAGGTCATTACGTTGTCGAACGGATCCTCGAGGCCTAGAGGACTCCGTGTCCCCATCCACAAACATGCACCATGTACGAGCCCCACGGCGGTGTTTGCTGAACACCCTAGAGGGATGCAGCGTTGTCGGTCAGTCAACTGCTGCTGTCTCCTCGTCGAAAAAGCACGGCAAAACAAGCAGCGAGAGGACGTGAACTCCAAACGTTGCCGCGGCCATCCGCCCTGACACGCACACCCCCTTGCGCGGTTGTTTGCCGAACTATTTAATCCAGGATGGAGTGGAGCCCCCCCGTCGCCCCCGCCGCCGGCGCCCATGCGCCCCCCGTCGCCCCCTCTGGTGGAGCCGGAGGACAGCGAGGTGACCTTGCTCACCAAGGCAAACTTCCAGGAGTTTATCGCGGGCGAGTTCGCCGTGATGGAGTTCTGCGCTCCGTGGTGCAGGCACTGCAAGAAGCTCTTGCCGGAGTACACCAAGGCCTCCAAGGAGCTCAAGGAGATCGACCCTACCATAAAGTAAGTCAGTCAAGACCTTTTTCTTGTTGTAATTTATTTTTTTTATTGTGTTCTTTATGCGTGCATAGACGGAAGGTGTCCCACGAGCTCAAGGAAATCGACGTTACCATCAAGTGAGTTATTCAGTCCTCGTTGTTGCTGTTTTATTTTTTGAATGCTTGCATACATAAATAAGCCTCCAAGGAGCTCTCGAGGAAATCGACCCTTCCATCAAGCGAGTCAGTCCTTCATTTTTTTTTTCGTGTATGCGGACATACGTGCTAGTGAGCCTCACCCAAGCACACATACCCCTTTAGTATTTTAAGCTTCAGGGGAGGAAGTGCTACTGTACGCCAGAGAAAGTGCGTGCGAGCACCGTAGAGGATGCTGTGTGTCCACGAATGGCAGCTCACGAGGCCGAGCGGCGAATGAAGACCGCTCGTTTCGGTACTGTAGAACAGAAGTGCCAGCGACGGTCCGCATCTGACGCAACGAACATCGGAACGAGAATTTCCCAAACATTTTGAACACACAAAAAAAAATGTCTGATCAATCGTCTCGAGCGGAAAAAAAAAGTATCTTTGCGCTGTGGTATCACTTGTGGTGGGCATCTGCGTATTGAGCTTGTAATTGATTCAGCTACAGTTGGCCCCCGTTAGCACTTGAGAACTTGTAGTTATGGCCGAGGCTGAGGTTCTTGGTTCCTAGGGTTATGCGGCGAATTGCCGCTGCATAGGTTTTACAGTAGTGTAGGGGTCTTGTTTTGGCCGAGGCTGGGGTTCTTCGTTCCTAGGGTTATGCGGCGAATTGCCGCTATGTAGGTTTTAGAGTAAAGGGCTTAACCCAGCTCACACATGGTGCTCAAGCTCTTTGACTTTTTGGCTTTCTGAGGCCATTTCGATTTATGATGCAACTGCGAAGTTCTTAGATGCGGACGCGAACTGCATAAAGAACCTTTCTCTTCTCGCGCAGTCTTGACGCAATTATATGCGTTTTGTAGGTTTTGTTTTGTTCAGGCTGGGCAAGCTTGACATGGACGACCCGAAGCAGAAGGCGGTGGGTTCCAAGTACGGGTTCAAGGGCTTCCCGACCCTGAAGATCTTCCGGAACGGCAAGCCGGAGGACTACACCGGGCCGAGAGACGCGGAAGTCGTCAAGCTCCTCACCAACCTCAAGAAGGTGTGTGTGTGTGTGCGTGTGGTATATATTTTTTGTTGTGCATCGCTAAATATTACCTCACAAGCTCCAGGATTATGCGTGTGTGTGTGAGAGTGTGCGCTTCTCATGTATTTTTTGTTAGCATCGACCGCGCTAACCGTCTGACCAGTGAAATGACGTCAGTGTCAATGCAGTTAAAATCTCAAAACGCTTCTAAAGGCCATGGTCTAGGGACCCGTGAAGTGTGTGTGCGTGTTTCTGTAAGTAGTTAGCATCGACCGGCACGTCAAGTACCTCACGAACGTCAACAAGGTGCGCGCGTGTGTGTTTGTGTGTTTGGCTAGGTAGCATGGACCGCGCCGTAACTGACTGACCAATGAACACAAGTCAGAGTCAGCTGGTGGTATCAAGGCCCTACGTTTCCGTTTGTTCTACGTTGACCGCAGTAGCCGGCTGACCAATGAACACAAGTCTCAGAAACGTTGCTAAAGGGCATGATGTTGTGTTGTGCGATCGTGCGGTCTCTTTTTGGCTCTTTTTTTTTTTGTGGCTGCAAATGCTCTCTGTTGTTTGTCCTTCACCAGTGGCATAACTGCGTGAGAGGCGGCGGGTATCGCTGAGTGCAACATGACGGAGAGGGAGAGAGAGAGAGGCGGTAGCGCATGTTCAACATGTTTTAGAACCGAGGTTCGGTTGAGTCCAGGCAGGCAAAGAGCGTTGAACAACATATTCGCCTGATTGAGAGCGAAGTATCTGATTGAGAGCGAGAGCCAAAAAAATTGAAATTTCGGGTCCAGACGCCTCTTTCCATTTCTTGGCAAGCAGGGGACGGGCTATTCCAAGAAGCGGTGCAAATTGAAGGTATCATCAGCAGCTTCGCGAGCATATGCGTGTCATCGTCATCGGATGCTGCAGCGAGGAGCTAGACAAGTTGCTAGATTTGCCCAGATTGGCTATTTCTGCTCAAACTGTTTCAGGGCGGTATCGCGTCGGGCGGTGGGCTCTGCTGTAGCTTCTGCTCCCCGCTGTAGCTCCACAACGAGAGACTCCCACAGGATGACCAGGGTAGCGGCTTGAAGCTACGGGCTAGCCCTTCAATTCAAGCTACACAGCAAGCTCCACCTCTCAGTGGTAGTCCGGCTACAGCGTATCGCGCAATCTCGCTCTCAATCAGATGCTACGCTCTCAATCAGGCGAATATGTTGTTGTTGGTGGACACAACCATGTTTCGCCTTTTCGTCATTCTCTCTCTCTGTCGTGGGCACACGAACACGACTTTTTGGCCCATGCTTGTGTGGACTTCGTGTTGAGGTCACACACAGCAGTGAACATGATTGCTCGCGCGCATTCGGGTGTGTTGAGAGCGCGGTGACCATGCACCTCTTGCTGGAGACAAGAAGTCCGCAAACTACTGTAGAAGAAGGATGACGAGCCTTCCCCCCCCCTCCCCCTCGTCCTCCCGGTGATGTGTTTGTTGTGTGCGGTGATTTTTTTTTTTGCGTTGTTGTGTCTTTGCAGCGACCTTCGGCAGCAGAAGACTTGGATGATGATAATGACTTTGATGATGATGATGACGACGACGACGACGATGCAAAAGTAGTAGTAGCTCCCTCGATGATGGTTATGGCATGATCAACAGGGAACTACATACAGCAGTGCTCAGGTGCTATTTTATACGTGAACACCAAGTAGAACAGAGCTCGACACAACGTGGCTAAGAAGGGAGCGAGGTCGAACCCCATATATATATATATATATCACCACCAGGTATACTGGTAAGCGATGACACCGAGGTGTTTGACCGGTGCTCCTCCCACACGCACACTTCGTTGCTGTCGAAAATCTCGAAAAGTTCCTTCCCGGTACATCGTACGAACGGTCGTGCATGATCTTCGACCACACCCTCCCATCCCACCCGCCTACCCATGGCTCTGCCTTACGCGCGCATGGTGTCAACGCCATCAGAACATGGGAAGCAAGGAGGAGGCCGTACCTGTCAAGGAAGAGCTCTAAGAAGGAGCGAGATGAGATCGTGCTGGAGGAGGCGTTATTTCGAAACCCTCCCGTGGTTTCCTTGGGCGTGACCACGCACTTTTGATTCTTGGGAGCCCTTGGTATTGCGGCGGCGGTGGATAGAGGGACATGCATGCACCCGTTGCGGATGTGCTCGCGTGGCTTGTTGCAACTAACCACAATGATGAAGGGCATTCAGGAGGATGGCCAGCAAGCAAAAGGTAAAAAGCAGTAAACACAGGGACGATATAAAGCAGCTGTGGAAAGACCCGCGTACGCAGTACGTGTACGTGTCTCGGTGAACAGTGTCGGATGTGTGCCGTCCCCAAAATGGTTGACTCGTGCCTGTTTCTCATGGCAACAACACGCACTCGCGCTCTCGTGTTCCCTGTAATTTAGGGGCCGCAGGAATAAATAGAATCATGTGAGAGCGAGTTAGTTTGTCTTGATTTGTATTGCTTGCTTAAACTCGCGTATCGGGTGGGGGTGGAGGGCTCTATCCATCTTTCTTATTCTTCCGAGATGTCGCCTGTCTGGCCATGATATCTGGTGATTTGTATGGTACGTTGGAAACCTTGTGTCGTTCAAGCATTAGGCGGGAGGAGGTAGCGGGCCAGGCGAAACACCCGTTGTTGGTGAACCCGTGTCTCACGCCTCTCTTTCAGTCTCCTCATTTATTGTTTGTATTGATTCCAGCGCTGTCAGCAATTTTGTTGTTAGGTTGACGAGAGAGACAGCTGTCGAGGGAAAGAAATGCCCTGTCGTGATGGAAGGGCTCTTTGCCCAAGCAGACACATGGGTGACTCATTGAAAGTGATCAAATCCTCGTTGCGGTGGGAAGTTGAGGGATGCCGACCAAGCAGGACGAAAAGAGCAAAATCTCGATACCCCTTCCTTGGAACGCTACTGGAGCTCTGCTTGTCCTTCTCTTGGCTTAGCCCCCCGGGAGGTTTCGGAAGATCAAAAGATGAGTGCTCCGAGAACCTGGCTGGTCGGGGAGTTGATGGATTTGAAAAGAGAGCAGCTCAGCAAAGCCTGCGGGCGGGTGCGAAACCACCGCAATTAATTTCTCGAGGTGAAAAACCCCGAAAACATTTTTATAGTCTGTTGTCGACTCGACTTTACTTGCGGGACTGCGTGGCGCGCCGGTTGTGTTTTTTTTCGAAAAATCGGCCGCTGGCTTCGGCTGGCTGCTGGCGCCACCACCACCTATTTTCGTTGTCGGGCTTTCTCAGTGTGTAGACCGGAGTCGAGCCGGCAGTCTCGCAAGAGTCCGGCGTCGTGACTCCTCGGCCCGAATACAGCCTTGTGCTGTTGGCGCGGGAACGATAAGACGTCGGGTGCCTCACGGACGCTCGCCCCGATGTCGACGCCCCCTGGAGGCATGACTTCTACACCTCCCACCGTTTCGGCGGCTCCGCGTGGCCTCATCAACCCCGTCGGAGCTGCGACTTTCGGGACAGCGTCAAGCCCCTCGCGGTGGCTCGGGTACTCTCATGCCCCCCGCGGCCCCTCCAGACCCTTCGCGACGTTACTCTGCGGAGCCTCAACATCGCACGGTGCTGACTGCACCGCGGTTGCCGAGCGCAAGTAGTAACGGTTCTCCCAAACCGCAAGGTTCATGTTCATTGTCACGAAATAGCTGCCCCAAGCCGTGAAAAAAGCCGGTTTAACGACCAGGCCTACCCCCACGTTTTACGCGCATACGCCGCGTAGACCGGGCGGTTTCGCACGATTTTGCGGCTGTTTCACCGCTTTTGCCTGCCTCTCCTCTCAACCCGCAGTCCGGCCCGTTTTCGGGCGGCACCCAGACTGTCCTGCCGGTTGCCGGTGCTGTTTCCCTTGACGGTAGTTCTCCGGGAACGAAAGGCACACCCGCGCGGCAGACCCTTGCCTTGTTTCTGACCCCAGGCCGGAACATTACAACACGATGAGGTTTTCCTCTTTTTGGAAACAGCCGTCCCTTTTGTCTAATTGGACGCCTTGCCCGTTGTCGGTCCACCGCACTCGCAATGTGTGCGGTGAGCAGTTTGTGATGACGGGAAGCTCGCATTTTCGGCGATGACGTCGCTCATGCCGCGCCATGCGCAATACGAAGAAACCCGATTCTGACGCCAGGCGTTTCCACCACGCGAGGATAAATGTTTGTGGGACGACGGGCAGCGAATCACATCTTAGCCGGATATCCATTCCGTTCAGCTCACGGATGGCGGCAGCTTTCTCGTACTGGCCTGCGACGGAGTGTGGGAAGCCATGCGTAATCAGGAAGCAGTTACCTTCTTCCACCGGCAACTGATGATGCACAAGGACGTGCAACGAGTGGCGTCGGAGCGTGTAAGGGGAACAATTGGCAGTCACAACATTTTCATCTTTCTCATCTTCATGCGGGAGTCTTTTTGATCCGACGGGTCACAACAGCAACGGTACGCTAACGTTTTTGGAGGGATGAAACGAGGACATCAGTAGAAACTGTTGACTTTCACGAACGGCAATCATATCATCTCTAAGACCACTGTTTATGGCAAAAAAATCTTGATCTTCCTCTCTTTCGACAAATGTTGAATTTTTCGACCTTTTGGGCAGTCTGCCTCCCGAACGAGTGCGAATCAGCTGTTCGACCTTTGAGAACAGTCACAGCTTTGGCTGAGATGTCTACAGATCGCCTACATGTTTCGCCAGGGTTCACGTTTGATTTTATTCCAGCAGAGCAAGATGTTGAAGATTCGGCCGAAAGGCCAGCTCGGAGCAAATCTTGGGCCAAGATCTGTCCAAAAGCTGGTTTTGGAAAAATCTTGCGTGAAAATTGTGAACCTTGAAAAAATCAAACGTGGACCCTGGCGAAACATGTAGGCGATCTGTAGACATCTCAGCCAAAGCTGTGACTGTTCTCAAAGGTCGAACAACTGATTCGCACTCGTTCGGGAGGCAGACTGCCCAAAAGGTCGAAAAATTCAACATTTGTCGCAAGAAAGGAAGATCAAGATTTTTTTGCCATAAACAGTGGTCTAACAATTTAGCATGTTATGTCTTTTTTTTAATTGTCGGAACAAAAGCACACAACGGTGAAGATTCCAAAGGGTCCGAAAGACCCAACAGTTTTCCGGTTCGTTGAAATTCAATTTGGTCAGTTGACGGTTTTGAAGAATACCGAAGAGCTGATCTCGGAAAAAATACAAAAAATAAAAAATGATCGAAATTGTTCATCCACCCGATGGGAGAATTATCTGATGTTCCGAAACTCTTCGTCCACCCCGACGGCAGCAAGATGGATGAGGGCTGCTTACGCGTCTTCCCCTCCCACCCCGCTCATAGCTGCCAATCCGAAGCGCGTCGCGCCGCCTGCGTGCACTGCTGCTCGCCGTATGTCTTTGCTTTTCTATGCTGTCNATACTCGAGGACCTCGTCCAACTGTTCCTCCGCACTGCTCTGGGGAATATTCCTGGTGCGCACGCATATGTATGTCACTGCCTGCGCGCGTCCCAAGACGAGGGCTGCTTATTCCCCTCCCACCCCGCTCATAGCTGCCAATCCGAAGCGCGTCGCCTGCGTGCACTGCTGCTCGCCGTATGTCTATGCTTTTCTATGCTGTCTATATGAGGGAAGCGGACCCTCCTTTGCCGGCATAGAACCAGAACCGAACCAAGAAACTTCCTCAGAATATTCTTTTCCGACAAAGTCGTAAGCGCTAACAGCGCTAATGAGATGGATGTTACAAATATAAAATACAAAAAAATGAAATTATGTTCTGATAAATGCTTTGAAGGACAAGGAGGCGACTTCCTCTTATGAGGATTCCGTTAGGGCAACGGAATCTCTCAGGGTTTTTTCAGCCCGTTCCGGAAGTTTTCCCACCCCTCTCCGCCCCACACAGCCACTCCCACAACAACCACCCACCCACTCCCGCCCTCGCCCTCGCCGTCAACACCTGACGCGGTTATCATCTGTTGCAAGCACGAGAGCGACCCGTCACCCATAATGGCGAATCGAACCCTTCAAGATATGTCTGCCGTCCTGTCTAAGCACTACCTCGGCGAGTTCATGATGCGACTCTGCAACATCACGTGCACCGAGATGGTGCGGCCCCTCAGCCAAAATGGTCTGCAACACCTCGAGCGCTCCATTCAAGAAGTGGGCTGGATCGAGAGTTTTGCTCCTTCTGTTGTCATCCAGCGAGACCACCTCGGTGACAGCCGTGAACTCACTGCCGAGGCCGCGCTCACCGCACCTGCCCACACTCTAGACGGCAACCACAGGGTCACTACGCTGAAGAAGATGTACGGCGAAAGTGGCGTGTTCCTCGTTCGGGTCTACCTCGAGTTCAACCAGGCGGATGAGAGGCTAATTGCCAACGGTGAGTTGACTGCTGTGTCTGCTTTGTGTGTGGGGACGTGGTGTTCACTGCTGCTGTCGTCTCTGCCAACCATCGTGCAGAGACCTCCTTCGTGCGTCGTCGATGTGTTGCATGGCTTCTTCTGTTGTTTCTCTTCCCTTTCTTGTCTTCTGGTTGCTGATGTGGAGTCACGTATTCGCGTTTTGTTCGTGCAGCAGCGCAAAAAAATGCTTGATTTATCGTGTCTCTAACTTGTACGTTTGGTTGCTGCCCCCCACGTCGGCTCGCCGCTGTTCACAGCTTTGAATGACGCCACCCAGAGCGTCGTGCAGCGAACCCTCTACGACAAAGTGTACTTCCAGCACGAGCTCGAAGAGGCCATCAAGCGCGAGATGAAGAAGGACAAAGTTACTCAGGCAGACATTCGCCGGAGGTATGAAAGGGTGAGCAGGTTGTCGATGTTGAACAATATACGTACAGCAAGCTCTGTGTCTGGCCATCATGTTGTTGCTGACATGTACTATTTGTTATATACTCCTTGACCCTCACTGACATCATCAGTGTATCAACCCAGCAGCCCGTTTGTTGTTTATCTGCGCTCCATTTATTCGTGGCACACCCGTGTAGCTGTGCCGCTTGGTCCTTTATCAGCATTGTTGCGACAGGAGTTAGATGTAGTGGAACGTGCAGCAGCGGTCCGGTCGCCGCCCCGTTTGTTCGTACCAGCTAGTTGGTTTTAGTATAGACCCTCGCTTCAACGTTGTGCTTCTCCTTGTCTCAGAAGTGCGTTGCGGATGACTGCGTGCTTCCGGCCATCTTGCGCAGCAGAAAAACATGCTTGTACGAAGTAACTGGTACAAGTTTTTTTTTTTTTTGTCGTAGTACGCTGCAATCGGTCGCTACGCGACTGAGGCTTGGGTGGTGATCCGGTCACTAACGTCGTCCGTGCTTTCCCGGGCGACTGTTGTTTCCCATTGCCGCCGATCGTGAAGGTGGGTGTTGCTCCACCCCCCAAGACAACTCTTCGGAACTGGCAGATGGCCGTGGACGCTCTTCACCCAGAGTCATTCCAAGTACTGAAGGAAGTGTGCGAGTCCGAGGAGGCTGAGGTGGACCGTGCAGCTGTTACCTTGACGTACTTGACCCGGAAGGTTTTCGCAGAATTCTCCGCTCTCCAGCAAGGGCTTTGCATTCATCTCGTCTCCAGGCAAGCTGGATCACCGTGGAGTTGTTATTGGCACAGAGTCACTAAACCCGTAGTACAAAGTAGTAATGAAAGCTGTCCTTAAAGTACTATTTCGCTCAGTACAGTATGGAGAGCCGTACTAAACCGCCTAGTACAGTACGGTGTTGTGGGTCAAATACTGTACCATGTCCAGTACAGGACCGGCCGAAAACCCCTACTAAACCCCCAGTGCAGTACGGTGTGGAGACCCTTACGAAGCGCAATAGTACACATAGCACAGTATCGAAAGCCGTACTAAACGTGCTATTGCGCTTCGTACAGTAACGAGAGCCGTACTAAACCCCCAGTACAGTACAGTACGACCCTTACTTGCTGAAATACTACAAAGTACGTTTAGTACGTACTGTACGAGAGGGAACCTTGTTTTCTTCCAATCTAGTCTCGGTCGGTACAACAGTACAGCGATGAATAGGTGATAAACCCTGCACGAAGATGCCCGTTTCTCAACGGTGTGTTGGTCCTCCCTGACGTCCGACGTGTTGTTGATTTTCCCGCAGGTTCAAGTTTATGAACAAAAAACTGCCTGGCGCGAAAGACTACGCGGACATCGACAAGAACGCCGGAATCGCCGCGTCCAAACGTCCTCAAGTTGGTGCCCAGAGATGACTGGACACCAGAGCTACGAAGGTTGGTACACATATGGGGGATGCTGGGAGGTTCTTGCGGTCCGTGTTTTTTCCCATCTCCTGTATGTACCTTGTACAAACGCCGCGAATGTTCAACCCTTGACGAGCTGAAATGTGGTATTCAGTCAGACAAGCGACGGGAAATGCAGCGATGAACTGTTTCGAGGTGCTTTGCGGGTGGCTCGTGGCCTGATTTCTTGTTTTCTTGGAAAACACGTTCATGGACTGTTGTTTCGCACCCGCTCCGACCTTGGTACTTGTCGCGCCACGATGCACGACATTCAATCAAGAAGTTAGCATGAACCCTGCCTGATTCAATGTACGCAACACTATTACAGGGAAGTCAACAGGCTCTCTCACGCGAAGCCCAACCAGCTCGCCCTGTACGTCAAGCCCCACCACAAGCAACAGGCCGACGAGGCGAAAAGACTCCTGGAGAAGGTCTCCACTGCCGACAGAGCCTCCACTTACGTCGTCCAGCTGAAGGAGTCCATCTCGACGGTGGTGCCATCGATGCCGCTGCCACGGATCAGAAATGTCAGTGTGACATCGTGTGTTTTGATGTGCAATATGTTCTGGTAGTGGAACGACAAGATGCTTCTGGATTTACCATGATTATCGTGGGTGATGAGTTGGAATCCTCGTGCCGCTGAGAGCGGTAACCTAGAGAAACCCAAATCCTCAAAACACCTAAAACTAGTCACCACTCTTGTGCGAACAAGTCCTAGCTTCACCTCGATGCTCAAAATCACCCATGATCCCCAGCGACGCTTTCCTCCACCCACTCCGACGTCTAGATTCTCTCGAAGGACGCCACGCTACGTGAGCATCTTATGTCCTGGGACGCGAAGTACCAGGACATTATTGACCAGGTAAACCTCCACAAGGTTCACT